GTCGTATCCTTAAGTCCCGTAGCGCATTGGTCAATGCGCACGGTTGTAATGTGTGGTCGGTTGGCAAGCTTCGTCCATGGAGAGATATCGTCCACCCATGTTCCTGTAGGTTGTTCGCGTATAAACCACCTCTGAGCGTCATCTTGGGTTACAGCAGTTTTACCACAGTAAATTATGTGTGGTAAGTCTTCTCTGTGGTGCTGTTCCCAAGTGTTATAGTTGACTTTGTAGTTATAGTAAGATGGTGGTCCTGTGGTGCGGCAGCTGGGTTGCAGCATGGCAACTCGTACGTAGCATATCTTAAAGTAATGATCTATAACCTGCTGCACCGAGGGGTCTCCCAGGTCGACATATGCAGTCTTGTCCAAGTTGCCGCCCGAGGAAAGTCCCCTTGAGAAGGCAAGCTCTGAGATGCCACCCTCGCCGCCACAAAGCTCCAACATATCCACGCAGTTGTTATGGCCGTAGCATAGTGTAGCAACTATGCTGTATATGTTAGCGTGTGTGTCGGGCATAGATGTGGGGAGGGTAAGGAACAGGTCATCGTCCTCGTCGGAGCTTATCAGCTCAACAGGGACGTCAGAACTCCAGATTGCCATAAGATCCTGTCCGAGTCCTGACAAGTCGTCGCCACAATCGTCATTTCCGTCTTCGACGTGCTTTTTAATGCGGCGAGGCTTGATGCCTGCTTCCTTTTCGGCTTTGAGCCTCTCCTTCTGTTTTATACGCGATTCAGTGGGTAAAGCTTGTTCGTCTTGTTCGTCGGTCTGTGTACTCATTGTCGCGGTTGAATGGATACATGCGTCAATCGCCAGAGTCGGGAGAGGGAGAGAACAGTCATCTATGATGACGCGTCGATGTTTCTGTGGTGATTGAGTCGGCTCGTTTCCGAGCAAGACCGGTTCCTCGGGTTGCCAATACAACCGAGTACTGATGTTGGCAACCCCTGCAGGTAATGGTGCATGCCAATCATACCCTGTTGGTTGATCGGTAACTGAGATATCTTGAATAACCGCGTTGGTATCCAGGTTGATTGTTACACGTCGGATGACTTCAGACCATTTTGGTCCTCCCTTATGAGTCGTCACGTAGTGACGGGTATTATGGTCTGTACGTGTATACGTATTTAAGTATACGGGCACGTTTCCGTGCGTGGTGGTGCTCCCCAGGATTTTGTCGTTCAAGTGACGGATGAGTATAGTACGTGTCTGAGCCCGCCATTCAGCATGTCGTACTGCATGGCCGTACCAATCCAACAATGTTGTGGTATGGCCTGCTTACAGGTACATGTCCACAGCTTCGAGTTGATCGGTATAGATGATGCTACCTGCATATAGGTACCGCTTGGTGTACTGTCTTGCATATTGAACCGAATACCGAAATGACACAGACGCATCCGTATTACTGACAACTTTAGATCTTCCAGGGTATCACGTACTGGAGATAACTCCCAAACATATCCTGGGGGACCAAATATTATAATCTTCATGCGGAGTTTCTTCGCTTTAATCAACAGGTTCTGGATACGTGACCAATGTGGGGCCACTCTCTTTCCTGGAGTTCGTACGTACCAGTCACCCGGAGTACTAATCCATATGAGAGTGTGATCTCCACTGATCACCGCACCTAGGTAGTTTGTGCCCACGCTTGTCATAAGTTCGTTGTGGGAAATACGATCACAAATGTAACCTCGTGTGCGGAGGTCGGCACATGCCTCCCTCGTATCTTCGATGACAAAAGCCCTCTTGCTAAGGCAGGTTGCCCCGCTGTCCTTGTTACCCCCCGGCGTTTCAGCCAACAGGCAAGGCGACGAGGGGGCGACGTCGCCCTGCCATCTTCAAGATGAAGAAGATGTGCCTACAATATCTGCCAGCATCTGGGCTTCCCTCAGATGCTGGAGCTCAGCACTGCAGCGCGCCGTGGCCTCAGAGGCGGATTGCTCCGCAAATGCTGTCAGCATCGATGGATTATCCATCAGCTGTTTCAGCGCGCCTTTGGACCTAGCGTCGCTGACCGTATGCAATTCACGATTAGTGTATCCCATCACTATTTTACGGCGGGACTGCACAGCGTCCATGGGTACACTACCACCATGCAGGGCCAGTGTCCTGGCAACGAAACAATCGAACGTCTCGAGATCGTTGATGTTGTCGCCTCGCATGGTGGCCTTGGCGAGCGTCTCCATCAACCCCTGGGGCAGGTTTCCCTGCAATTGATTGCGCTCCTGCGCTGGGGTCGGCTCGCCTGTCAGCACTGTCTGGAAGGACGTGCTGCTTGAGCTCGAGGCGGGTTGCCCCGCAGCTCCAAAACAATCACACCTGATCGACAGATGCCCTGACGGCAACTTTGTCGTCGGCATGATTTTGGAGCCTTCTGGGAGCTCCATTTTGACCTGCCCCTTACCAGGGAATATCAGCTTTTCCTGGCCTCGTTCAAGCACGATGATCGTGCGTTTGTCCTGCATACTATCGAGACCTAGGATGGCTGGCAGGTCCTTGCCACAGCCTGACACAATGTTCGTCTTGTATGAATCGAGTTGGGCCGACCCCTGGTACTCGCAGGCAATACTGAATGCGCCTACGGTATCCGCTGGGGCCGACCCTTCTCCCACTCCGTTGATATTCAAACGAGAGCGGGGCTCGAACGTACAAGTACGGCCATGTGCCTCGGCAGCCTGGACGAACTTACGGCTCGTGTTCTCGCCCATGATGTTGATCTTCGAACCGACGTCGATGAGTATGGAATTTCCACCATCATCCAAGAACGTCTTACTCGGCTGCTTGATGTGCACAATTTCTGAAGTGTCGGTTGTGTCGGTAGGCGGGTTTCCCCGCGGCACATTCGTACTCCCTGGCGGGTTACCCCGCACGACACTGGCATGCGACTCGCTCTCGGCCATGCGTGCCAGGTCAATGTGCTGGAAGTGCGACACGTGCTGGGCGTGATCACCACGCTCCTCCCGCCAGTTGGCATACTCATCACGTATGCTCATATACTGCTCGCGGGTAGTGCGCCTTATCAGCGTTAGGTACGAGTGAAGGGCGATGTCTTGCAGCCCCTCGTTCGTGACGTGATCCCGGTACCGCAGCCACTCCTCGAACTCCTCATTCGTCGCTGAGATGTTGACGGCCCTGGCTGCTGTTGCTGCTGACGCCGCTGAGGATTCTGATAGGTCTAACGACGGACTATCAGTTTCAGGATTGTTGGCATCTAGCATAAATGTTGTGTGCGTATTACCCATCTGATTCTGGAAATGTCGCACACGCAACTCGCGCAGCTGATCAGGGTCCAGTGACATCTCAGCCTCGCCTCCACTCTGGGGAGACATCTGAGGAGTATCATGCAGGTTTCCCTGCTGAGGCGCCGTCATCGGGATAAGCTGATCAAAATATCCCGTTTCCATAGGCGGCCTTACCTCTTCAGGCAGGTATCCCTGCTGTTGTGACGGAACTTTAGAATGCAACTCATGGGAAGCCTTCGTGACGCCTGCGCGCCTGGATAGCGTTCGACAGCGTTGCGATAGCGTTGCTCGCGCGCGTGGATAGCGCTCGATAGCGTTGCGATTGCGTCCCTCGCGCGCCTGGATAGCGCTCGATGCCGCCTGATCGCGCTCGTCCCCGGCGCCAGCGACAGAAGCTTGAGCACGGGGAAGGATCCCAGCAGCGGTGGCAGCAACAGCGCTGCAACGTCGCGGCAACGCAGCGCCTGCGCGCACCGCCTGCGCGCACCACAGCGCACGCGTGCACCGCAACATTTGCGTGCACCACAACGCTTGCGCGCACCATGGCGCGTCCGTGCACCGCAGTTCCTGCTTGCACGGCTGCGCTTGCGTGCACCACAACGCGCACGTGCACCGCAACGCCAGCCTGCGCACGCCACAGCGCCAGCGTGCACCGCAACGCTTGCGTGCACCGCAGCGCCGCCTGCGCGCACCACAGCGCCTGCGTGCACCGCGCCGCCTGCGTGCACCGCAGCGCCTGCGCGCACCGCAGCGCTTGCGGGCACCGCCGCAGAGACGGCGCTGCACCACGCGCGCTGCGGTCGCAATTATTGCCTGTTCCACAATACTCGCGCTGAACTAAACATTCGCAACACGCGGCGCGCAAAGAACTACGAGAAGGTTTGAGCCAAAATGGCAACGGAAACCGTTCCTCCACCGTGCCCTCCTCCGCCTCGTCCTCGTCGTCCCCCCGCCCGTTCCTCGCCCTGCCCGGCGAACCCCGCCGTCGGCTGGGCAACCTCGCGGCCTTGGACGCCCTTCCCTTTCTTCCCACCTCCTCCCCCTCGTCCTCCCCCTCCCCCCCTCCTCCTCCCTCCCGCTCCTGAGGAGGTGCGAGAGGAACGGCCGGCGCGCCGATCACTTCCGCACGCAGGCCTGCGTATACCTCGGCCCGTTTGCACGCCAGCCCAGGGGACCAACAACTTCCCCGGGGGTTCGGAAAATCGTAAAAATGGCCGCCTCGATTTTGCCGCCGCGCCGGACGTGGGGGAATCGTAGTTTTTCCTGGCAGGCGCCGCGGGCAGGGGCACGCACCGTGCGGTCCACGACTGCAGCCCGCTACCGGTCGGCAAGCGATAGTGTACAGATGCCGGGCGCCATCGTCTGTCCAGGTAGAGGTAGTAGTAGTGGTAGTAGTAGTAGTAGTAGTAGTAGTAGTAGTGGTAGTAGTAGTAGTACTAGTAGTAGTGGTAGTAGTAGTAGTGGTAGTGGTAGTAGTAGTAGTAGTCATGGTAGTAGTAGTAGTAGTAGTAGTAGTAGAAGAAGTAGTAGTAGTAGTAGTAGTAGTAGTAGTAGTAGTAGTAGTAGTAGTAGTAGTAGTAGTAGTAGTAGTAGGAGTAAAAGTAGGGAGTAATAGTAGTAGTAGTAGTAGTAGTAGTAGTAGTAGTAGTAGTAGTAGTAGTAGTAGTCGTAGTAGCAGTAGTAGTAGTAGTAGTAGTAGTCGTCGTAGTAGTGGTGGTGGTTCTAGAAGCAGTAGCTGCTAGCAGCAGCCCCCGTCCGCTCAGCAGATCCCTTCCGTCTTGCCGAAGTACTTGTCCAAGTCCACCTTGGGTTTTTTCTCCGCGGGCTCAGCAGCGCCGCCCTCCGAAGCCCTCTTCGCGTCAGCAGCCGGGACGACGTTCTTCGCGCCAGCAGCCGGGATGACGTTTTTCGTGCCAGCAGCCGGGACGACGGCCTTCGGTGCAACTTTTTTCAGCTGGCCAACCGTGAAGGTGTGCACGCTCCCCTTGACTGCGTCCCCCTTCTCATTGCCCGACAGAAGCTGGACCTTGTACTTCTTGCCATCGGCCATGGGCTGGACCACGGAGGCGGTGTGGCCGCCGAACACCTCCTTTAAAGCCTTTTTGGTCAACACGAACTCGACCACATCGCCCTCCTGGGAACAATCAAGAAAAAAGAATAACCGCCGCCACCGAGAAACCATCGGGCGGGGCCGACCCCTGGGCGGTGGAACGCCTGAACGCCCCCTAACACTAGGGGGCGCTCGGGGGTGCCACCGCCCAAAGATCGGCCCACCCCCGTGGGGTTCTCGGTGGCGCACCTCTCTCCTGCTCTGAGGATAGAAGAATACACCATTTCACGCGCGAGCACGAGCCTTGAAGCCCTTCTCGTCCGCCGCCGGCTTCGCCAGCGCTCCGGGCGCTGGCCCCGGGGGGCCCTTGGCCGGCGCCGTGGCCCCCGGGGTCGCCTCCGCGCCGCCCTCCGGGGCCTCCTTCGCGGTCGGCGCCGCCGCGGCCGCCGGGCTCGCCCCCTTGCCCGCCGTCTCGCCCGCCCCCGGGCTCGTCTCCGCGCCGCCCTCCGGGGCGCCCGCGGCGGTCGGCGCCGCCGCGGCCGCTGGACTCGCCTCCTTGCTCGCCTCGGCGGCGGGCGTCGCGGGCGCCTCGGCCGCCCACGCCTTCAGCGCCTGGGCGAACGGCGCGTCGGCGTCCTTGGCCTTGGCGAGGGCCTCGGGCCCCTGCCGCTGCCGCCTCCCTGCCTCCTCCTCCTCCTCCTCCTCGCCCTCCTCCTGCCGCTTCGGCTTCGAAGATTCCGGGCCCCCTGTGGGGCCTCCAGAGGGGCCCGCAAACCGAACGAACAGCCCGCCCTGAAAAACGAAAAGCGCCCGTCTCACCGCCAAGATTTTTCCATTTTCGGGCCCCGGGGGGGCCCCGGGGCCCCTCGAGGGCCCCCCTCGTCCCTCCTCCTTTCCCCAGCCCCCCCTCCTCTCGCTGTCCTTGTGCAAAGCGGGACCTGCGGCGCGCAGGATGCCGTCGTACAGCGCGGCGCGCGGCTCGTGGAGGATCGGCGCCGCCTGCCGGGCCCGGGAGCTCGCCAATCCGCACTTCTTCGCGGACAGCTCCAGGAACACTCCGTCCACGATGTTCTGCCCGTGCCGGCCCGCAGCGCCCGGCAAGCCCATGAACTTTTTCAACATCTGCAACGTGCTTTTGACGCCGGCGTGGGGCACCAGGGACAAGTCGAGACCCGCCGCGCACGCGAAGCGAGCGGACGCCAAGTAGCCCGACTCCCCCCACGAAGAGAAGTCCGGAGAGACACGGGCGAACATCTGGGTGCCCAGGACGTCGGTTTTGCTCGGGAACCACTCGCGGACGCGGTCGAAGGCCGCCATGCGCTCCGTCTCCTTATCCTTCCCGAAGAGCAGCGACAGCACGTCGCCATTCCCGATGGGCCCCATGATCGTCGACACCAAAGTCAACTCCGCGGCGAGGGCGGCGGCCGCCTCGTCGCTGCCCTCGGCCCGCTTCGCCTGCTGGAGAACCGAGGAGACGATCTGCTGGCGCGTCCCGGGGTCCATCGTCTCGGCGCCCTTGACCTTGTGGACCAGGGCCTTGTTCCTGTCGGCCGTGAACTTGGAGAAGAAGGGGCTGCCCTTCAAGACCTCCCAAGCCGACCATCTCATGCCGCCCTGGATCTGCTTGATCTCGTCGCCGTCCAAGGACACGTGCTTCCCGAAATCCATGTCGGATATGGTGCACAACCCCATGGCCAGCTGCGGCACGACAGCCGGCCAGATGCCATGCGCCTTGCGAAAGTGCTTCGCAAAGTGGCGCACGTCCTCATACACCGGGCCCTGCAGCAGCACCTTCGTGACCCCGGCGTAGAACTTGAACATGTACTCGGGCGCCTCTGCCGTCTTGCATGACTCCGCCCCAAATTTGCCGGCCACCTCCGACACGTGCTCTGTGAACCTGCACATCACCTGCTCGACGGTGTCTGTGTGGAAAGGATCAGGCGACCAATACTTCCCCGCTCTACCCGCCTCCGTGGCCTGGTCGAACATCTTCAGCGCCACCACCTCGTCCGGCAGGTCGGTATCGGACGGGCGCTCTCGCACTTCTCGCCTCGCCCGTTTTGCCGTCGCGGGCTCCTCGGCCTCCGGCGGCTGCGCGGCCTCCGCCGGCGTGGCGGCCTCCGTCGGCGGCGCGGCCTCCGTCGGCGGCTCGGCGGGCGGCCCGTCCGGCAAAGCCGGCGCGGACCCAGAACCCAAGCGGAACGTCCTCCACAGCTGCATCGTAAAGGAAGAGGAAGAGGGCGAAGGAGGAGGAAGAGCAGGAGAGGAAGGAACAGGGAGGAAGCGGGCCCGGAACCCTAGCGGTCCTAGTGTTCCCAGCGCGCAAGCGGACCTCGGCCAGGCCCATGCCGAGGTCGAGCATATCTACTGCCTTGTCGTAGCGTACCTGCATGTCAAAAAGCCACACGCCATCGGCCGGACAATTCGCGGGCAAGTCTGCGAAACCGCGCGGGTCCACCAAGTATTTCTCGGCCGCCTCCGGTACTTTAGGAAGCTTCACCTTGTATTGCGCCAAGTAAGGAAGTATCACCTCAGTAGACGAGCTCGCTGTGGCACTGTAGTTGGTGAGGTCGGCAGCCTGAACCCTACCAGAGCTCGACGGGAGACTGGCCGCCAGAGTCATGTACCGCTGGATGTACTCCTCGTCCTGGGCCATCTCCGCTGTGATCCCTGAACCGGGCCTCTTGGCCATGTCGCGGAGGGCACGCCCCGCGCGCTTCCGCGCCTCCTTGTTCTGCACGAGCTGCATCATGACGACGAGTCCGGGAGATCGGGCGGCCGGCGGCTCGCTGAAGGCTGACAGACGGTGCCCTTGATCCAAAACGGCTATCGGAGGCGTGCCCCCGTAACATATCATAGCATAAACATTCTCCAAAGCCGTTGCATAGCATAGCACTGCATGGCTCCTATACCATTTGACCGCATATCATAGCAGTGCATGGCTCCAGTAGCAAATCATAGCACTGCCAAGCCCCCAGATCATCGGCCTCCGGGTCCTTCTCCTCGTCACCCTCCTCCTCCCCCGCCGCCTCGTCCTCGTCGGCCTCCTCCGCCGCGTCCTCTGCGGCAGGCTCTGGATCAGAACATAAGCTCGCGATGTCGCTGGCCTCGCTCTCCCAAACGTTCTCGCCAACGTCGTCGCCCTCCTGCTCGGGGGCGCCCGCGTCGGCATCGTCCGCGCAGTCGTCCTCCTCAATATCCATCAAGTCCTCGATCCACAACGTGGCCTCGTCCTTCGACGCGCTTGAGAGTCTCGCCACAATGCGCTTCAGCTCCCAATCGTCCGCATGGACGACCGCACCAGCTTCCTGGAGAACCTCTGCGATCGGCCTGTAGACGTCCGCGAACCCCGCGGCCACGTTGAGTGTCATTGAGCGCCCATCCCGAGGTAGTAAGAATCCCCACGTGTCCTGCCACATGGAGAAAGCCCAAAAAGTGTACTTTTGTCCGTTCGAAGCGACAGAGAACAAGCCAGGCGGCTGCTTGGCGAGCAAGCGAACAAACGTCGAACGGGCACCGCCAACGCGCACTGGCTGCAGTCTCTCCATGTCAAGGAGCCCCTCCAGAGGGGTCACACGCTTGTTGAGCTCTCGGCGCGCCTGTGTGGCAGAAGCCAGGTGCTCTCGAAACTCCGCTTCGTTGGAATCCAACCACTTGAGCCACTGGGCGTTCGTCAGGGGCATGACGGGATCATCGTCTTCCAGGCTCCGGAGCCTCGCTTTTGCCGACTCTCGGAGTGCAGACGCCTCGGCTCGGAGCGCCTCCCCGTGCTCAGCGAGGTACTCGTCTCGCATGCGTTCGTCCCCACACTGGACGAGTTGCCGCGTTTCCGTGTCGGAAACGCCAGTCTCCCAGTGAAGGCGCCCGCGGGGCCGTGCGAACAGCTCCGGCTTCCGCTGGACAGCCAAAGTCCAGAACGTCACGGTGAGGTCCTTTTTGGCCTTCTCCTTTTCGCCCATTTCGTGCGTGACGCGCTGCTCGCGCATCAACTGCATGCGCCTCAGGATTCCGTTGCGGGAGCACTTGGCCACTCCGCTCGTGCGTGTGGTTTCGTTCTTTTTCACAAAGTTATGCGCCCTCTCGGCGTCCAAACTGTTCCCCTCGGCGGAATGGAAAAAATCGAAAAGCTCCTGTTGAACACTGCGTGACAGTAGCCAAGAAACGGCTTCTGCGTCTGATCTCCCACGCTTGGCCTCCGTTTGAAGTGGCTTCGAATAACCAGTATCCAGAGTGGACGCAGCAAGGCCGATGAATGCCTGGGCCTCTCTTCGGGCGCCGTCCCCGTTAAAAGCCTCTACCATTTTCCACAGGAGCATCGGGTACTCCGCGTACTGCTGGAAGCGAACAACGATGTGGCCCTGCGTGAGCAGGAGGCCTGTCAGAGCACCAACGGCGTCCAAGTCCTTGTCCTGCGTCAGTAGCGGAATCATGGTTTGAAGGTCTCGGGACGTCGCCGCTTGCACGTCGCCCTGAGCCAAGCGCAGCAGCAGAGGCTTCCCGTGCACCTCCATGCTCTTGCGGGTTTGACCTGTGATAGACGTGGCGTGCAACGTGAGACGAATGCACAGCGCCGCCTTCCGGAGCAGTTGGCCGCAGTCTGGGCGCGTCAGGAAGGCCCGCACGGACTGCAACCTTTTCTGGTTGTCCTTCTGCGGGTTCGTCATGGTCAAAACGAACACGTCCTCTGGCTTCAGGCCCAGGAGTACAAATCGCAGCAACGTGAACACAGCATCCTGTCGACACGCCGGGATTGCTTCGGGCGCGCAGCCCCTGATCCAAGAGCAGGGGGCCCGCGTTGTGCTCCGATTCTCTGCCCCCTCCTCCACCCCCTCCTCCCCCTCCGCCTCCTCGCCCTCTCTTTTGCCTCGGCGGCCTCTCGCGCGGCGAGCAGGCGCGACGTCCCTCGAGCGCAGCCGAACGAGGGAGCGGGCGCCGCCATCGCCTGGGGGGATCGAGGTGGGCGCCCCGTGGCCCCCCCACCCACCCCCGCCCCTGTTCCCCCTTCGCCCGACGGACGCTTGGATCAAGGGTTGCTCGCCGCCAAGCTTTAATCCCGCGGCGGTCCCCAAAAAGCCAGAATCTCGTAGTGATCGGCTTGTTCTCCAGCTTGAAGAGCAAGCGGTACAGCAACCGGTACGCCTGGGCGTGCAGGGCCGCGCGCCCGCTCGGAGAGTCATCGGCGACTGTCTTGAAGGCACCAATGCCAGCATTGAAGAAAGCGCACAATTCATCAGGAAACGCCTGGGTACCGTACAAGAGTTGAAGCCGTCTGTTGCGAGCGCAGCCGTCACTCGCAGCGGCGACCCCGGCCTCTGAGGCGAAAGGGACGACCTCGAGCTTGTCAACGACAAAGCGGCGAAGCGCGGAGGCGAACTCCTCCAGGTAATCGCTGAGCAGGTAGCGAAAGAGACGCACGCATGTTCCTGCGAGCGGGCAGTTTTCCGAAGGTTTGGCCACCAACCCCCCTGTCACGGCGACCTGAACGCACAGATTGCTCTGGTGAGACGAACACTTAACTTGAATGAGAAATATCTGGCATTTCAACTCCCGCGCCACTTCCTGCAAGCGGACACAGACGCGGCGGGCTGCCGCGCCATTCGTCCCGACGCCGTCGCCGATCAAGAGGTACAAGATGCGTGTGGGCGACGGCGACGCTCTCCGGGAGTCCGCGCACCTATGAAGTGCCGGCAGGCCCGACCGAAGCACGGCCGTGGCAATGCTGGGGGCGTCCTTTCTTTGCAAAGCCTGCAACTCCGTGAAACAGACAACTGATTTGCGCCCACAAAAGATCGTGAGGGTGTCGTTCTGCACCTTGCTGGAACGACCCCTGCACGTGGGCGCCCCAGGCCCTGACAGGTCGTAGGCCCCGCCACTCTCCGCCATGTACGATTTGACGTGCATGGGCGCCTCGTCATGCACGTGGCGGAACATGACGGTGGCCCCTGCCGCGGCCTCGGACATCGCCAAATCCTCCACCTGCTGTAAATTCATCTTTTTGATGATTTCACAAAATGCGTCACGACTCTTGTTCACAGTGCACTTGGAGATTCGTTTGACCTCCTGCACGCCGAAGTCTCTGCACATACTTGACACAGCCTGCGCGGGGATGGACGGGGGCGTCACAGCGACGCGCACGTGCCACAAATGGTGGATGCGGTTGAACAACTGGTCGTCGCTGGAGAGTTCCACGACGGCCTCGGCCTTGGCTCGCATGTCCCCTTCGGCGAGTTGCCACTCCGCCACCCACTGCTTCCCCGCCAGCATTCGGTCGTCGACGACAGACCGAAGGCCGACGGACAGCACCCCGAATATTACACTGCGCAGTTTTTGTCGGCAACGAGGCGGAGGCAGTCCGCGCCAGCGTTCGAATGAGCAGGGGACGCCGACAAACGAATTGTCCGGGATGCAAGAGGGAGGGAGGGGGAAGGACGGGGCGGCCGCGGAGGACAGGAGGATAAGGGGAACCGCTCACAATTGAAAGAATTGCACCACGCACTGCGCAGAGGTGGGGCATATTCGGCGCCATGCCCGACGAGGGATGGGCGGGGTGTCAACTCGCAAGCCTGCGTGTTGCAGAGAGCGGCGAAGACGCTTCACTTCGGCGACGGGGTCTGCCGCTCTTTTGCGGCCCGGCTGCTGGACGGACTCGAATTCTGACTCCAGGTCCGTAATCAGACTGTTGGCGTTGTCAACAATGCGGCGGTGATCGCGATCAAGCCCATCAGCTTGCAGTCGCGACACCAAGTTGCCAAGTGCGGAGCGTGCGTGGGACACCAGCGTTGCGAGTTTTTGTGCCATGAGTGCAGACCCCCCTGGCAGGGAGAAAGGAGCACTCCGACGGGCGGCTTCTGGAGCAAACCCGCCTCAGAGCCACAGCGGAAGCCAAAACGGCGACGGATCAACACAAGCGGCACGTGATAAGAAGGGCAAACCTTCGTAGACCAGGGGGGACCTGCAGCCTTGGGGGGGGTCCGCGGGCCATCCTGCCGCCGCCCTGGGGGAGGGGTCCCTCGGCCGTCCTAGGGCAATATATGTGTGTGTGTTAATGCTTTGGCGCCCCGTTGCCTTGCTGGAGAACTTACTGGGAAGTTATTGTGTCCGCTATGGCACTGCTGGTAACCATGGACGGCGATACTGGGCAGACACGCCCAAGGTAGCCCGAATCCCAAGAAAAGGAAGAGGAGGAGGAGTGCGAGAAGACAGGAGGAGGGAGGGGGAGGGGGCAAATTGGCGGGAAGTAGGAGGGATGATAAAAACGGGAGGTGGAAGGATGATGGGGGTAGAACGGAAGAGAAGGGAGGAAGAAGGACAACTTGGATCAGAAGGGGGAGGGAGAAATGGGAAAGGAAAGGATCGAGCGGAGGGAGGCAACGCACGCGTGCATGTCTGCAACACCACCCATAACGAGATCTACTGAGGCTGCGTTGAAGCCTCCTCGGGTTATCCCTCCGATGGCACCTTCGGGCCACGTTGGGGCCGCCGCGGGGCCTTTGGGGTCCATGCGAAGGGAATGTCAAGGGCAGATTGGGGCCCTGTTGGGAAATGCTGGGCGATCTTGGCGGCATCTCGGGTCTTTGGGGGACCTGGAGGCTTCGCAGAAGGCTTCAGAAGCAGGAGGGCCTCTGAGGGGCGGCGGGCCCTCCTAGGAAGCCGAACCCCTCGCTCCACATTTTTTGCGAGTCGCCGACTGGGCCGCAGGGCTTGCTCGGTCAGCGCCGCCTAGCGGCGGCAGCTCCGCTCGACCACGCTCCACTCTGCCTACCCCGGGGGAGGCCGCAGGCACGGCGCGCCCCGCACTACCTGCGGGCCCCCGCCACAATCATCACCCGAAGCAAATTCGCCGACCCTTTCGGGCCACCGGCGAGTGAGGCCCCTAGCCACTCGATGAGGACGATGAGGGCAATGGTGATGATGAGGAGGCCAACGCGTGGAAGGCGAGAAACGCAACGGGGACGCTATCGGAACGCTATCGGTGCGCAAACAACAGAAAAAGACCAGAATTGAATTACAATTTAGCTTCCCATGAGTTGCCTACTAAGGAACTGTCTGCATAGCTAGCATCCTGGACGTCATCTCCTCCACCATGCTCCTCAGCTCCCGCAGCTCTCTCGCTGACTGCTCAGGAGTCTGACTAAAGGAGCCGGTCCATGGGAAGGATGATGCTATAATGCCGGGTGCTCGACAGATAGCACATGGTGGCTGCTGGGGATCTCCCTCACGCTGATTTGCGACGTGGCCCACCACATTGGAATTCCAGCATCCCTCGTGGAATAGGTGATTGCACCTCAGGCGGTAGACGCTATCCCTGGGCTGAAATTCTTCGAGGCATACCGCACAGGTATCTTCCATCCCAGTGAAGACTTCTACGTCTGCTACCCTGGGATATACCCGCCGCTGCCTCTCCAATACCGTCTCGGAGGGCATGAAGGCTGATGGGGGTGTCCCCGTTGGATTCAGCACTTCCTGCACTTCGACATTTGGCATGGAAGTGGTAGGAGTCACGGCGGGCGAGTTTCCTCGCAAAGGTGAGCCCCTGTTCCTCACCACATCAAGTGCAGCTGCACGTGACTGATCCCGTGCGCTTTGCACCGCCTGCCTCCTCCTGAAACATGCCTGCTGAGTGTGGTGTGTCTGCCTGATGTAGTCAGGCACGCCCCTACTGCCAGACGATATTGAATGGGCAGTGGGCTGAACAACCACCTCTGGTGATGTTGGTGAAGGCATAAAGGCCATGTGCGGGTACATGGAATGGTCGCTGCAGCGCACATTAGTGAGGTTATGCATCTGATCCGCCAATTCACGAACAAATTTGTTCGGAACCCTTGACCCGTCAGGGTATAATGGCGAATTCATCTGCGTTGGTGGTGGCCTCTGGCCCTGAGACATGCTCGGATGGGCGTTGAACGCCGGGATAAAGGCTCGTTGCCGAGCAGGGTCCCGTGGGTTGGGACCCTCAGGTTCCCAGGACCAGGCTGGCCTCCACCTCTGCCCACTTGGGTGAGGCAGATTATGGTTCTGCACCTGCTGCACCGCGGCCGCCACTCTTGAGCGATAGTCGTCAGGTACACCCGCCCTGTGGTGGCTTGGTGTACCAGGCAGGTTTCCCTGCTGACTCGTTGGCGTGCCGGGCGGCATCATGTTGAGGAGGGCTGTGCTGTGATCAGCCCTAGCCGCAGCTATCCTCTCCATGAGTGTGCCGTTTGCGGCAGGGCGGACAGGTGTCCCGAATGGGGATTGTGCCGGTGGTGTGCCCAATGGAGTCATGCCCTTTGGAGTGTGCATGCTCTGAGTAGGGCTTCCATGCATTGGTTCAAACCGAGCAGGTCCGCTTGTAGGCAGGTTTCCCTGCATGGCCTGACGATTTCTCGTAGCCATAGCGGACATTGCTCCCTGGCCTGCGGCCCAGGGATCCTGCTGGTATAACCTGTCCGCCAGCTGTTCTACCTGGTCAGGGTTCAGCGCGGCTGCGATCTGATCCAGGTCCGAGGTACTAATGGCCTGCCAAGACACGGCACTAGGCCCTTGGCTTGGGGCACGGCTTGGAGCCGCGCTCCCGGCCTCACTCTCGGTGATCATGAAGATCCGAAAGATCTCAGGCTGGTTTCCCAGCTGGGTAGGGCTGTAGTGGTCCCCAACTTCCCTGTGGGGGTAGACCATGGGGGGGTCGACGCCCTCCTGGTCTTGGGACCACTGGTACTTAACGCTGGAAGTACCAACGTCAGCCCACCTGTCAGGAGCAGACATCGTTGCGACAGAGACTCGCGCATGGCGGCTCCCCAAATACTCTGGATTACGCCATTGCCTTCCTGTGGTCAGATCCTCTACATGAGAGATGTAATACGGTTCAATGATACCGTTATCTCCCTCGGACAAGAGGACTCCGTTATCGGACCAACAGAACTTCATACCATCTTGTATGGCCTGACGCCAATCTACGAAGATGATGATGTTTGAATCTGGGTCCCACCCACTGTTCACGGCACGGCGGCGAACTGTCGGCACGAAGTGAATGTGCGAACGGCCTGCCCCCTTTTTCTTCGTGTTGTGCTCAGGTCTACAGGACAGGCCGTGCCACATAATACCTTCGAAAGCATGCCATCGAGTGCCATGCATGGCGACTTCAGGGCATGGGGCCGGTCTCCCGGCAGGTTGGTCGCACAGTACAATGTAGCTGTACAGCGACCATGGAGCTTTCAATGTCCATGAATGCCCCTGAGAGGCGCGGATGAAGATAGCGGGCTCGCCGGAGTCCCGCATTAACACCTTGAACTGTAGGCGCTGTTTTTCTTCTCCGTCTGGTTCACGGACATGAACAACTGCCATCATGATGGCTGCCAGTTGGTCAACCGAGCGCCTGCATAGATGCTCGTTGATGACCTTGGCCTCGTCATACGTTGGGCTATACCCAGCATGTCTTGATTGACCTGTGTTCCACGGATAATGGTCAACGAGTTCCACTAGGTTAACCCAACCATCATGATCATCGAAAGATTCCAAGCGCCACACAGGACTGTGTTGCTTGTCTGGCGCATGTATGCATATCCTGCTGAGAGCTTTGCTCAGCTGTTTGAGAATATCATTGGATGTGGGAAGGATTCCAGCTTTCCTGCATTCCTTCATGAATGTCTCATCCACCGAGCGTATCGGTGGGAGCTTCCGAAGCGCAAGTCTATCCCTGATCACATTTGGAGTCCCACTAGTGAAGGACGTGTCACCTGGGTGGTGCAGCTGAACCACTGGCGGGTTTCCCCGCATCGGAGCCTCTGTTGCTGAAGAGGCTGCGGCTCCAGAAGAGGAGGAAGCTGCGGCGGCAGCGCCTGGCGGGTTTCCCCGCGGAGATGCGCGACTGACGCTGCCCCTGATCTTCGGCACCCAGGTACCCCTCGACATAGCTCCTTCATCGGACCTCCTGGAACGAGCCGCCACAGGCGAAGCTGGCGCAGGTGCATACCCGCTGCGCTCGAAAGCTGCCGCCCTTTTCGCAATGGAATTGCTGCGACTAAGCGGGCGTCTTCGTTCCTCCATAGGGTCCTGAGGTTGCTGCTTGGGCACAGACGCTTGTGGAGGAGTTGCGCCAATCGGCGGCTTCGGCGTCGCAGATCGAGGCACCTCCATATGCACGTCTGGCCCAGGGTCCTGAGGGCTCGTCTTCGGTTTCGGCACCGGGGACGGCTTAGGTGTCGGGGGTTCACTCTTGGCCTTCGAAGTTAGTGGGAGT